AGAGGCGGCGCGGCGCGGCGGCCGGGGCCCCCCGGAGGACGAGGAGGCGAGGCTGCCGCCGGCCGCCCCGAGCCGCTGTCCACTGCTGAAGCGCCGGCCGAGGGCGCCGCGCTGCCCGCCTGGATGCGCCTCTACTTCTACGGGATGCACGGGATCACCCTGGACGTGCTCGTGTCCTCCGCGCGGCGCTTCGCTCGCAGCCCCGACCCGCGCATGCTGGGCTTCTCCTCGCCCTACCGCTGCCTGCTGCACTCGCTCACCCACCTCGCCCTGGAGAAGGTCTACCTGCAGAAGCGGCGCTGCCCCAGCGCCTTGGTCTTCCATTTCCTGCTCTACCCCTCGGCGCACGTGGGGCTGCAGACCCTGGCCGGCCAGGCGCTGCTGCTCAGCCTGGGCGGCGGGCCGGGGAGCGCGGGGGCGCCGGGGGCGCTGGACCTGGCGCTGCAGTACCTGCTGGCGCTCTACCACTCGCAGGTGTTCCTGAAGCGCTTCCTGTGCCTGCGGTACCGGCGGCGGCAGCAGCAGCAGCAGCAGCAGCAGCCACGACTGGGCGCGCCCCCCGCCCCTCCCGGCGCCCGAGCGCCAGCGGCAGCGGGTGGCCGGCGGCGACGACCCCGCGGCCCCAGGGGCACCGAAGGAACCCCCAGCCGGGGCTTGCCGGACCTGCTCCGCTTTCTTTTCTTCGGAATGCACGGCTTTTTGGATGAGATCTTCTTCACCTTCTTCTTCAACGTGCTTGGGCAGGGGGACGGGGCAACCAGCGGCCACACATCCCTCTGGTCCTTCTTTATGTACGGCAGCTGCAGCTTCGTGGTGGAGAAGCTCTACTTCCACCTTCACTACAGTCGCGGCTGGAGTACCTGGAAGCGGGTGCCCATCTACGTGGTCTTCATCTACGTGTGGGAGTTGTCCTGGGGGCTGGGTCTCCGCACGTGCGGCGCGTGTTCCTGGGACTATTCTCACTACCCGCTCAACTTCATGGGTCTCATCACCCTGATGTACTTACCTGGTTGGATATTCCTTAGTGTGTACCAGGACCTGCTTTCCAACGTCTTGTGGCGGGTGCAGTACTTACCAGCTAACTAAGACCCTCCCTACCCCCCCCCCCCCAAAAGCCTCTGAATTCCCACCAAACAATGCAATTTATTTTTACACCTTTAAAACGGAGTGGGGTTTTTTTTAGCCTTTTAGTTTTTATACGTTTTACTAAACTCTTCCAACACGTTTTATTCGATCTTTTAGTTTTTCTGACTATTTGGAACCTATGCATAATACGATACTTTGAAATAGTACTCGAAATATAACTTAAAGTACTAAACTTGTCAATATTTTAAAACCCTTACAAGTCCAACCAACAAAACCATTATACCTTAAGATCGGAAAGCTATACTATTCACTTATTTGGGCGTAGGTGAGTGATAGCTACTAATCTTTTTTTTTAAAAGAATAAATTCTTCAAACCAGATACCATTGATTTTTACAAGACTTAGCGAAATTTTCTGAATTAATGCTGTGTTTACTCTTTTTAATTTCACTTTAACTCCTTGCCATATCGACCAATGACCGCTGACACCCAGTGTCTTGTACTCCAGTTAATAGCTCTTAAAAGTGCCTCCGTCTAGCGCACAAGTAAAAAGAAACTGACGAATGTGAAAACACATCCTATGAATTGATTTTTAAACAAATCTTTTCTAGCAACTCTGACAGGTGACACTGTGTTATGATATTGATCTCCATCCTGGAAGTGCTTGCTTTCCAATGTGGGTTAGCCTTAAATGCCAAGTGTGTTAACGTTGATCAGATCTGTGTTATCTACGGCTTACGTTTTTGTTACTGTTCAATAATGTAAAATGTTTACCTTACATGTCCAAGGGCCAAGGGAAATTATGCCACCCTCAATCCTGTTCTAACCCAAGGACCCTTTCTATGTGGAGCTTCAAGAGTAGAAACCGTTCCTTGGAATAAAATCAAGCTGAATGTTCGCCCTAATTGCATTAGGCCTAATTGTTTTCTGTGGATACAGGTACGTGTTTTCAGCATATTTCTGCCATGGCTCACCTGTAAACATTTTTGTTTTTTTCTTTTTGAGCCTACCACAGAGTTCTTGGGGCAAGCCTGATGTGAAATGCGCGTTATAGACCCATGACAGCTTTTCCGTGACTCGTTATTAATGCTATTAACTTTGGAAGCTCCAAAGTTAAATGAGGTGATGTAAACCATTTTAAGAAATCATGTCTAATCAATTAATGTACTTTAAGGTTGTTTGCTGTTTTTTTTATACTTAGAAAAGACAAGTAGGATTGAGTATGGCTCCGCCAAGAATGACTAATACCTTCTCAGTTTTCATTACAAAGATAATTAGGAAAACTCGCAGTGTACGAATGAATAGTTTCCTATTCAAATTATTAGCTTGCCTCTGCTATAAAAGGGGACTCCTTTCTGTTCTCAAAAAAAAAATGTTTGCTATGGCAGTAAAAATGAATATGTATTTAGATTTGATTAAGTCAGATGTAATTGTGAGAATGTAATATTATTTTAATCCACTATCTGAGGTTGTGAGCTAAATTATAAGTAATGCTATATAACCACCCTCACCTGTGAAATGGATCCTATCAAACTGATGTTTCTAGCAGTCAGAACTGAATAGAAACTGTATAAATAAGCCAAATGTTTGCAGAGAGTAAACATTTATGACACTTGGTTATGGGTAAAAAATTTCTGAAAACCTGAGGAGAAAAGTATGTAAGTATAGACACTAAAGTTAGGCAGATGCTGAACAAATACTTGTAATTCAGATGTGACACATGGGCACGAATCTGAGTTAAGTGTGGCACCACTCTACACGACCTTTCTGTGAATATTAATACTTAACCAAACCCATGACTTCTAAATTCTTGCTACATGTACATATTTGCACTTCTGCCCTTCACATGCTGCTACTCAGCCATGGTTACCTGTTTACCAGCCTTCTCAGGGACAGAAATCTGCCAGGAAGTGGAAATGCTTGCTCTTGTTTGCTTGCCTGTTTTGCTTTTAATGGTCATCTTATTTTAAGGAAAGGTCAAGATTTTCGTTCATTTAATTCATTCAAGAAATAGTTACTGAGCACTTGCCTGGACTGCAGATATAGCAGTGACCCAATGCAGATGCAATCTCTGTCCTTAGGAACCTCACATTCTCGTGTTTGGATTTATATGAGATTATACTGATTTTCAAGGCTACTGTTTTAGTAATAGGCTATGAGAGGCAGATGTTAGGAGGCTCTCATCCGGCCAGTCCCTAGAATATCAATTCATCCTCTCTAAAACAAAAGCCCTTAACAGTCCCTCTGCTAGTTCTGCAAAGAGCTTGTTGATATGTATTCAGGAAGTGATATTAACTGTCTATTAACTCAGCACCTTGCTTTAAGCTTTCTCATTCTGTGTTTCCTTAGCTTCTTAAAAGTGGTGTTTTGCTACAACTTTAAACCTTCAAAGTCAAAGCAAAGAAAGGAAAGAATCATCCAATTTTGTTACTCATTAGTAGTTGATATTGAAATGATAAGGTAATATGATAATAGTTAATATTTGAGGAGCGCTTGCCACCTTCCAAGAACTGCTGTATTATATGTATAGAAAATCTTAAGTAAATATATATATATATGTCCATATATACCTTAAACGAATATATACGAGTATATCAGATCTATCTGAAGTAGATATATATATATATATATACATGTATAAGTATATATATATAATCTTAAGTAAATATATATATATATGTCTTAAGGTAAAACATACATATCATACAGGATATGTATATATACATGCGCACACACCCATTTACTTAAACCTCTAACAACCTTCCCTTTACAGATGAGGACAGTGAAACTTAAGTTCAAAGACATTAAATAACTGCCTGAGTCATACAGCTATTGAGCATTTAGACTTGAACCCGAGTACCCTGGACCCTGGGGTCTGTTCTTAATAAACAGTAACACTGCTGTGCCTCTATCTACTGACCACAGTGACGTGGGGTCTCCTATGGCTTCGCCTTACAATCTGTACTGCCCTCCCCTCCCAATCTCACAGAGGCAAAGAGCTAAGGAAAAGCCAGGCACTAGCAGCAAAAACACTCTTTCATGTGCCTTCTTATTCCGTGGAAAATAACAAGGGAGCTAATACCAGGCTGCATAACTGACAATCAGCCTAGTTCTAATCCCCAGATGATAGTCTTTATATTCAAGGGGAGCCCTGAAATAGAGTTCCTCATTTGAAGTGAGATAATCCTGAGTATAAGAATAATACACCGAAATGCAAGCCACCTCATATCACAAGCCAGGAAAAACACATGTAAGTATTGCTATCCATTTAATACAGTGCTCAGAATGAGAGGCACTGTAAGAGCTAAACATCCCACAAATTCAAAGTACACTTTTTTGCTGACACATTGATTCTGAATTCAATTCAACACCTTAAAGTCTAAGGAAGTTCTTAACAGAAGAAAAACATGAAAAAAAAGAAGTAACAAGTACGGTTTTTTTCTCCATGTTTACACTACTGAAATTTCTTACTAGATGGGCTTTAAATTTTAAATGAATTTTATTTGGGCTCTGCATCTAAAAAGAAATACAACTTTTTAAGTTTGTATGTTAACAATGAATACAGAGGTTCCCACGTTATACAAAGACTCCAATAATGCTGATAACCCATTTCAATATTTCAGACACTTCAAGGACTCAGTGTACTTAACTTTGAAATTTTAATATTTGATATTTCATGTTTCATGTAAACAAAACACAGCTTAGAAAAATATGACCTGTCCTTTGTTGTTTAAGAAACATTTCTAATAGGTTAATTCTACCCCCTTTGGGGGAAAAAAAATTCTACCGTTTTGAAATAGTCGCTGATGACATAATGGATCTGGTTCTGTTTAATCAGGGTGGTGAAAAAGAATCTTGTTAAACTGCTTTGGTTCTTTTTCTACTTCCAAAATACATTTTAAAAAAAGATCAATATCCTTGGAAAGGAAGTTATACTCATGATACAGACTTGAAGTGATAAATAAATCATTGTATTGTAATATCTAGAAGCATTTTAATAAAATCAATTCTTACTTATATTAAAAGGCATTAAAACCCTTTACCTTTTTAATTAATTTTAAATATACTATGTCCAATATAGTTTCCAACAGTGCTTAATGGAACTGAGCTCCTTTACTGAGGGAAAGTAAGAGGAAACATCTTTCACCTTCCACCACACACACACCTCAGCTAATGCTGAAGGGAAAGATGGTTCTGTTGTGTTGCCAGGGTGTTTTTTGGTTTTTGTTTGTTTTCTATTCTTAAACTTGGTACCAGAGGAACCAACAAATACAGTAATTGTCTGTGTGGACCTCTATTCACCAGAATTGGACTCATTTTTTAACATCGAGGCATGGCGCCATCCCACAGGCAATGGCGTCCAGCCCCTAGCAACCCAAATTGTAATTAGCCTGTGATGTGTAGAAATTTTTTCTTAGAGATTTTTTTTCTCTTAATATAAAGAGAAGATAAATATAGAGAATATTTTATTTAATTTTAAAATTCTCTTTGCAGAAATGGTCAAATAAATTATCAGGCAGTGGAGGGGGGCGGGGGACGGGGACGGATGGGGTTGCTGGTCTTTGATATACAGAAAGCTTTAATTTTCATCTCACCTTTTAGCAATTCTATTAGAATCCAAAAGTCACCAACTTTCCCTGAGGGGCGAAAAATATCTTTATCATGACTAAGGAGAATCAAGGGTTGAAAGAAACCATGAAGCCTTCCACCTAAGGGGCAGGAATTTTTTACATCTCTGACAGATGGTTTCTCAACTCAGCTTGGAGCATTCGACACAGTTTTGTGTTTTTCATGCAAAGACTAACTGAGGAGAAAGCTGACAATAGCTGAAGTGATAAACCCCACTGTCTATCAGTGAAGTAAGAAGGCTTTTCAAAGCTTTCAGGAGCTAATATATACCATTTATCCTGCTTGTGTATTGCAATGAAACATTTTTTTAAGACACTATCTCTATTTAAAAAAAATGTTTCATTCATTTAACACAATACTTATCATCTACTTATCATATCTTTTCAAATGATGCTTCATTCACTGAGTCTAAGAAACAAGGCTTTGAGAGCCTTGAGAGTAATTAAAATTACTTTTAAAAAATGGTTCCAGGTATAGACATAAAGGATCAAATAGTAGGAACCCTGCTTGGGTCCTTAGAGTCTCAACTTGGTTCAATCCAGAAAAAGGCTTTGGCTGCTGCTCAGGTCTGCCTACTGAATATCAACTGGGGGATTTTCCTGGCATCTTCCCTTGCAGACTTAAACAGCTGCACTGAGAAATGAATTCAGAGGCCCATAGGTATTATAGGAGCAAGTAGCTAGCCAGGCAGGATAAAAGATGCTATGGCTCCATTCTCCTATGCAAAAAAAAAAAAATATATATATATATACTTATAATATTAAGGAGAGAGCTAACCATACTTTTGATGGGATTCCAACAGACATTTAGATTACATACGAGATATTTTGGTAACATTCGTAATATCCAGGATAAAAATAAAAGTGGTCTCCCAGGATCTCAAATTCAGAACTTTTAATGTTTGAAAAGTCATTGTTAGGGAAAAATAATATTGGGGGGAAATTACAGAAAATTTATATCATATCATTTTGATTACCCACTAGCTTTTAAGAACAAAAACTAAATTAAATATGCTCTTGTACATTTCTGAAGGAGAGCTATTTTAGTTTTAACCTTTTATTAGAAACAACGAAAGGAAGGAAAAATAAATTTAAAAGTTCCTTGGAGTACATCAGAGCAAGCACTCAGCTTCCAAGTACTTAAAAACAAGAGTTTAGCAAAATTTATCATTATACTCAATCGTGTTGATGATATTTTTAGCAAACAAAATAGAAGAGAAACAAAAGAATAATCAAGGAAGAAATATAAGGTATAGTGAGACGAATAGTATCCAGTAGTCTTAGAGAGCCCCTTAGTTACTTTTCTATGGCTAAAAGAATTCAGATTTATGAGTATTATTCTAAGTCTTTATACTATTTAAGATTTGAATTACACAGAAAATTTGATGGTTATGAAATACTGCATACTCTAGGTTTGGTTGGGTACCAAAATGTACACTTGACTGTGTTAATATTTAATTAATAAAATGTCTGAGTTTATTTTCTGTATAATGATGTTATTGAACATGCTATAAAAAATTTTGATAATGTGTCATTGAAGTGTCTACCCAATGCACAGGTAAACAGTCTACAGTGTTAATCTAAATTGAAATTAAACTTAATACAAGTTAAATCTAGATTGAAATCTGAAATCATGAAACTTTAGAGCTTGAGGAGATAACTGAAGTTCATCTAATTCGTCTCCCAGCCAATAGAATAATTCCTTCTAGATTACTTTTGACAGGTGTCCATCCAACCTATTCCAATGATAGAGATCATTGATTTATTCAGATCACCCAGGCAAACCTGTTTTTTTATTCTATGGCTTTGGTTACTAGAAAGTTCTTAACAGTAAGACTACACCTGTCACCTTCACTCATTTTTGCAAGTTTTTCATCCATAGACAAACAGAGAACCAAAAGTTTGAAGAAAATTCCCAAATGTGTCTTAATTGCCTTACTTCAAGCTAAATATCCAAGACTTTTCAGCAATATAAACATGATAAAGTATGCAATGGTGAAATTATAACCTACTTTGCTCTAGACACCTTGCTTCTGCAAATGGGGAACATTAAGCTTTGTTAGTGTTTTTAGCAGCTCAAAAATTTAGATAAATTGAATTCTCATTTATCTAAATACTCTTAAGTCTTTTTTCCAGTGAATTGCCATTAAACCAGGGACCTTCTTTATGCCCCTATGCACTCAAATAAAAATAATTGCTATGGATTGTGCTAGTCCCATTCTCCATGACTGGGCCTGAGAGGAACTTAGAGACAAATGAAGACAAGTACAGTTAAGAACAGAAAAATTGCCAATGAATTCACTCTGCATTTATTTGGTTTCTCCTGCTTTCCAACTTTCTTCTTCTGTGAGCAGACCTATGTCATTCTCTGCTTTCTCAACACTTACCAAAGAACGTAGCACAGAGCAGGCGCTCAAAACGTTTTTTGTTGATCAACTTATCTGAATTCTCATTTCAGACATAATTCAATAGTGGTAACATGTGATTTCAACAGACATTTATTTATGGAACATAAACAAGACCCAGTATGTCCCTAGAAAAAAAGGTGGCTATTGCTTAATCTTCTCATATTCCTCCCTGCTGTGCTTAACAACACCTTTTCCAGGCATAAAGCTCTGGTAATTCTCTAAGAGAATTACCTTAGCTACCTTATAGTTTTTGTTGTTGTTGTTGTTGTTGTTTTTAATTTGTAGGTTATTTAGAGAACATAACTATCCCTTTAAAATTATTTCCGAAATATAAATTTTTTTTAAAATGGTGTGCACATGAATAGTTGCCAGTGTACATATTACTATAAGTCACTCCCTAACGACTGATTTGCTCAGTTTGTGGCTTATTGATGCCTCTTGATTTCCATTGTTTTTGCTGATGACCTTCTGGATTTGGACAACTTTTGAATAGAGAAATGAAAATAAAATTCAAAATTAGTTAAATTTAGAAAATTGCTGCTAGTGGTAAGTGGTAAATATTTATGTTTTATTATCTATGAACCTGGTTGCCTTTTTTATATATTTCCAACCCCAAATATTATTGTCAAATTGTATGAGTCAGGGTTTTCCAGAGAAACAGAACCAACAGAAGATAGGTAGATAGGTAGGTAGGTAGGTAGGTAGGTAGATAGATGGATGGATAGATAAATGATAGATAGATAGATATACTATAAGTAATTGGCGCACATGATTATAGAGGCAGACAAGCCCTAAGATCCTCAGGGTGAGTCTACAGGCTAAAAACCTGGAAGAACCAATAGGTAGTTCCAGTCCAAAGACGCACAGGCTCAGGATCTGAAAGAGCCAGTGTTTCAATTTGAGTCTAAAGACAGGAAAAAACAAAAAAAAGTTTCAGCTCAAAGTCAGGAGGAATGCCTTTTTTTTTTCAGAGAAGGTCAGTCTTTTTGTTCTATTTAGGCTTTCTATTGATTGGATGAAGCCCACCTATATTTGGAAGGAAAATCTGCATTACTCCATCTATTGATTTAAATATTAAAATCATCCCAAAATACCCTCACCAAAATACTCAAAATAATGATTAAACCAAATATCTGGACGTCCCATGGCCCAATCAAGTTGACAAGTGCAATTAGTCATTATACAGATCAAAGCATTTGAACCAAAGGAGTAAAAATGAGCATAAAAAAACTTGAGGAGCATTCATTCATTCATCTACTCAACAAACATTGAAATGTGTACTGTGTGTTTGTAGGTAAATAAGACATAGACCATTATTATTTTTTTTCATGTAGCAGAGGATACTGGTTCTACAACAAAAGTGTTAAGTGTTACAGAAAGGTATTGTTGAAGGAGATAATGGAGCAGCCTCCTAGACTGGAGAAGATGGTAGGAAGGTTCTAGACAGAGGGTCCAACATGCTCAACGTCCTGGCAACAATAAGAATCAAAGCACCGAGAAACACTGAGGCCATTGTGCCTGGCTGAGGGGAGCGGTGGAGGCAGGGGTGAGACCTGAATCGAACGGTAGGCAAGAGACAGGCCTTTAAGCCTAGGGCCATGGTAGAGTTTGGGAGACCATTTCCTAAGCGAGTTGACAAGTTACATCGGGCTTTCAAGCAGGCAAAGGACTGCATGTTTAAAAGAAAACTGAGATCAGAGAGTTCAAGACTAGAGGTAGAGAAAGACCAGCTATGTGGCTGCTAAACAAAAAGGTGAAAGATGATGTGGGCTCATTCAGGATTGTAACGATGGAGATGGACTAAAATACATAGATAGATTTGAGAGGAATTTAAGAGTCTGATTAGACTGTGTGTGGTGATAGAATGGTTGTGTAGATTGAGAGAGAGAGAAGCGGATGCAATTGGCCAGAAATGAATGAAGACTCTGAGCCTTGAGGACCTCTGAAAGTAAGTGAAAAGAGGAAGCTGCTAGAGACACGGGAATAAATGGTCAGATAGGCCAGAGATCCAGAAAATGTGGCTTCGCTGACAACAGAAGAGAAAAAGAGAAGGGTGTGTTCAGTATCATCAAAGTCAGCTTAACATTAAAGCAAGTTAAGAACAAAATCAATGACCATTGTATTTAAAAATATTCAGGGAGGGGGAGTGTAGGCATGAATGGGAGAAGGCTAGATGAAAATAGCAGTGCCACCTGAGGAAAAGGATGAGAGTGACATAAATGGCTTGTTTGTAACGTTTAGCTGTAAGGTGGAGAAAGAAGACTGGCCTGTAGCTAAAGAGGGGTAAGGAGTCAAAGAAGATTACTTTATCTCCTAAAGTGAGAGATTTGTGTGTGTATAAATGTTGGTGGGAAGGAGTCAGGACAGGGGTTGAAGGTACAAAAGAGGAAGTGGATATAAGATCTCAAGTTAAAGCATGACTAGGAATAAGTGACAGCTACTGACCTTGACGAGAGTTTACTGTTTGTTTTTAAGCATGACATGTATCCATTTGTTTCATTCTCACAGCAACCCGATGAGCTAAGCCCTATTATTATCTCTGTCTTTACATATGCTATTACTGGCATACGGGAGAGTTCACCATCTTGCCAGGATTTAGACTTAGGCAATGGGGTCCCAAGCTACATCCTCTAAACACCTACACAGCAAGTGGGGGGAAAGGTAAAGGATAGAAAGGGAGGGGGGGAACAACCAGGGGTTGGCATGGCACTGCGTTTGCGTGCTGCCTGGCATATGCAATCCAATAAAAAATGCAGAGAATGCTTCTGAAGTCACTTCTACTCCAAGAGAATTGAAATCCATAGTCCGTGACTAACTTTTGTATTTTTGGCTTAATCATTCATTCATTCAGTAAAAATTTATTGAGCACCTACTATATAACAGGCACTGAGAATGCTCTGGGTTTAAAAAACGAGCAAGTCTGATGTGGACCCTACCCTTGATACTCTATTGTATTAGTCAACTTGAGCTGCTCTAGCAAAATACTGTAGACTGGGTAACTTAAGCAACAGAAATTTATTTTCTCAGTTTTGGAAGCTAGAAGTTCAAGATCAAGGTCTAGCAGGCTCAGTTTCTGGAGAGAGCTCTCTTCCTGGCTTGCAGATGGCCGCTTTCTTTCTTTTTTTTTTTTTTTTTAAAGATTTTTATTGGGAAATTGGGGGGATGGGAACAGTGCTGGGGAATTGGGGAAAGGGGAACAGACAAGTTGCTGTCGTTTT